CCCCCCCAACACAACCCCCCCCCCCCCCCCCCTGCATGTCACAAAAGTCAGAGTAGAAGCCGCAGAAGAAACGAAGACGCACGGACAGATGTGTGTTTCAAGGAGCTTGCAAATAAGGTTTTGTCCTACGGGGAAACACGCCTCAGCAATAAAACAGTCCCCTTCCTCCACCCGCTTCTAAGTCTCCTGTTTCTTCTCTAAGGCTGGGGACCAGCCCGAGGGGGGTGTGTTCATCCCCAGGGGTCTGGCGCGGGGGCCGTGGGGTGAGAGGGAGTTTCCCTGCTGAGTGGTTGTGCGTGGCCGTGGAGGGCCGGAGCCAGCGGTCGAAGGGCCTGCTGGCCAGTGTGCGGCTGAGTCATCCCCTAGGGAGCCAGTCCAAGCAAGTCTGGCAAGAGGAACGCAGCCGGGAGAAGAGATTCCCCCCATTGGGACACACGAGGGAGCCCTGGCTCCATCCAGCCGGCGTCTCTGCCAGCTGGGAACTGCTGTCAAGCGAGTAGGATCCCTGAGAGGTAACTAGGCTTGTAGCCACCGGCGCCTCATGTCTTTGTGGGGCCGGAGAAAGTTGCTGAGGGGGCCTCTCCACCATGTTCACCTGCATCCTCCCCTGGGCCTCCCCTCCCAGTGCTCCTGCCAGCAAAATGGGGGCAGGGCAGGGGGCTTGCGCCAGCCAGCGCTCTGGTCGAGGAGCAGGGTTGGCTCTGGGGGTTTTCCCCATTCCACAGCGGGGGTGGTGGGCGGGTGGCCAGAAAGGGGTAAATCCCAGCTCCCTGGCCCCACTCCCTCATAGGAGCACTGGTGAGTGGGCAGAGCAGAGCGGGGCACAAGGGGCTCCCATTGTCCCAGGGCGTCCCCGTTGGCAAGGGGTCCTGGACATGGGGCTAGTCGCTGCTCGCAGCTCAGACGTTACGTCCCGTTTTCACGAGTCACCGAGGTGCAGGGGGTCCCGCTTCACAGCTCCGCCCAGTGATCGGCAGGAAGGACATCGGAGAGGGGATGCTCAAGACTCGTGTGTGCCTTACGTGAGCCGGTACCGTGTGCGGCCATAGGTGTGCCTGTGTTGTGTGTGTGTGTGTGTGAGAGAGAGAGAGAGTGAAAATTTGGCTTTGTGTGTGTGTGTGTGTGTGTGTGTGTGTGTGTGTGTGTGTGTGTGTGTGTGTATGTGTGAGAGAGAGAGAGAGACTGGAAGTTTTTGTCTCTGTGGCTACGTCTAGACTGGCATGATTTTCCGGAAATGCTTTTAATAGAAAAGTTTTCTCCTCTGTCGAAAAAGGGCGTTCTTCCTCGTAAAACGAGGTTGACTGCTGTCGACAAAACTGCCGTGTTCTGTTGATTTACTGTCGACAGAACATGGCAGTAGTCTAGACGCAGAGAAAGTTTTTTCGAAAGAAGGCCACTTTTTTCGAAACAACTCTGTAGTCTAGATACATCCAGAGAGCCCTGAAGGGAGGGTGAACTCTCCTTATGAAACCTCTGGTTATCGGGCAGATGAAGGTTATGTAACCCATTTTCCCACCTTTCCTGATAGGAGATGGTGACCAGAAGGAAAACGAAATAGAGAACATTAAAAAAAATAACCTGGCAACCTCTTTCCCAACATATTGCCTAGGGAGGCTGTGGAATCTCCATTACTTCAGAATTGAAGGAACCACAAGGGAACTGAACAAATGTTCAGATAAACAATCTGTTCCCCAGAATGAGGAGAAAGCAAGAATTAAGAAGAATTACTTCTTGTGTTTGCTCCAAGAGTAAAGTTCAAAATTTTCTGGGATCGGTTAGAGCTTAATTCCTGTAAATCGTTCACACGGCAATTACATTTCCTCCACCCAGGTTGTAAAGAGAAAGATTACAACTTGCTTTTGCGAGGAGCCAGGGAACGGTCACGCACCAGAGTGAGAAGAAAACAAGCCAGAAATAAGCATTCAGAATTACTTCTTGGCTACGTCTAGACTGGCATGATTTTCTGGAAATGCTTTTAACGGAAAAGTTTTCCGTTAAAAGCATTTTCGGAAAAGCGCGTCTAGATTGGCACGGACGCTTTTCCGCAAAAGCACTTTTTGTGGAAAAGTGTCTGTGGCCAATCTAGCCGCGCTTTTGCGCAAAAAAGCCCCTATCGCCATTTTCGCGATCAGGGCTTTTTTGCACAAAACAAATCTAATCTGTCTGCACTAGCCCTGTTGCGCAAAAGCTTTGCGCAAAAGGACTTTTGCTCGAACAGGAGCAGAATAGTATTTCCGCAAGAAGCACAGATTTCAGACAGTAGGAAGTCAGTGTTCTTGTGGAAATTCAAGCGGCCAGTGTAGACAGCTGGAAAGTTTTTCCGGACAAGCGGCTGATTTTCCAGTAAAACTGGCCAGTCTAGACACAGCCTCTGTGTTCTTTTGTTAGTCTCAAAAGTGCCACAGGACTGTTCATTTTTTTAATATTGTTTTTCTTTATCACACAGCGTGAGAAGAGATGGGAGGGAGTAACAACCGGCAGGCAGGCTGGAAGGACGGAGAGGAGGGATCAGATGTGGAATTTGCATGGGGGATATTACAACAGTGCCTAGCACCGGCTTTGTGGGAGGAGAAGGATGAGTGGAGGGAATCGGGCTGCTTTCAGCCTAGTTCTCTTGAGTTCTGGTTTCATTTTTGCTTTCGCAGCTCGCTGTTTTGCCCTTTAAACAAACCACCCCTCAGCTGTACAGCGGTGCAGGAAGAAAGGGGCCCTCTGCTTACATGCAGCCGTGTCCTGGCTCGCTCTGCCCCAGCCTGGCGGTGTCGAGGCCTCGGTGGGCCTCTGAGGAGGACGCATGGAGAAGACCCCAAGGGAGCATCTGCTGGCGGCGCTGGAAGACCTGGGGGAAGAGGAGCTGAAGAAGTTGAAGCACAAGCTGCCCGAAATGCAGCTGAAGGAGGGATACCGAGCCATTGGCTGGGGGAAGCTAGAAAAAGCAGATGTCCTTGACCTTGCTAAGAACCTGATTGACTCTTACGAAGGGGATTACGCCTTGGAGGTGACCGTGGAGGTGCTGAGATCGATAAACCAGAGGGAGCTGGCAGAGAAGCTGGCCCAGGCCACTGGAAAGGGTAAGAGGCAAATCCTGAAAAAAATCAGCCCCCATAGTTGTCAGGGATGGGCTGGCTTTTGTTTCCCACGCCCCCCAGGCTCCGGGACTTAGCGCCCCCCGCAGGGCCGCATCAGAGCTGTAGGGTCTCTCCTTGTTCATACTCCCCCCTCGACAAGTTTGGGCACAGCAGACTAGAGGGGTACCGGGGGCGGTAGGAAGCCGCCCAGGGCAGGAGACGGACAGAGGGGGAGGACGGCCTCTCTCACCTCCGTAGCCTCAAACCTTCCTGTGACTACACCTAGGCTGAGCTGATTTTCCTCCGGGGAATATGGGACGCCTGGTAAAATTTCTTGCAATTCAAACTAGGCAGTAGCCGCCCCGCCCAAACATATAAAAACTCCAAGGACCAGTGGGGGAAATGGGGCAATAGGAGTCTGGGCTAAGGGGGTGCCGCTCAGGTATAGATGTAGCCCGACTTCTATTTTGGGATTTGGGGCTAGTAACCTGGGGACCTTCCTCTGATCAACCCAGGAGGCCACCCGGCCTGAGTTGCTTTGGGGAGGGAGCACGACCAAAAATTATAACTCAAAGTTGAGGGGGGTTTCCAGCTCCGAAAGTTTGAAAATAGCTCAGGGTACAGGGAGGGTGTAGCTAAAGACCGTGTGTGGCCGGGGTAGCTCAGGGTGCAGAGATGGGGTTGTAAGGGACTGTGCAGGCAGGAGGTGGCCCAGAGGATAGCCACACAGTTGCTAGGGGCTGTGTGAGATCAGGGAGGTAGCCCTGGGGACACGGAGGGGGTAGTGAGAAGCTGTGTACAGCGAGGGGGGTATCCCAGGATGGCAGGGGGTATCTAGAGGCTGTGTGTGACTGTGCCATGTCTCCCAGCTCCCTCCCCTGAGG